TATTGCCTTGGGCCTTGTGTATTTTCTTCTAAAGTTATCAATTTACCTATCTATTCATCCAGTCAGTAGCTGAGTATTAGGGAGAAAAGTACTGTTTGTTAATTAGACATATGCTTACGCTTTCATATTAGCAAACGAGAGACTTACATAAGGGTTAAAACTAATTGCATTTCCATTTATAAATATACCCCAGTAGAATAAAATTATCTGACCTAAACCCACACAAATGATCTACTAAGATGATATCTAAAGTGTAACCTATTAGTAGTCTGTTTACAAAAACTAAATTTGAAAGTGAATTAAACAATTATGATCTTTAAATCTGAACAGAAACATTATGTAAATTGACCAAGAAAGTCATCACTTATTAGAAAACAATACATTTTTTTTGAGAATTATATTAGAACAAGATTTTATTAATATTTTATATTTTGTGTTTCATGAAATGCTTAATTTCTGAGAATTTCATGTGACTACTGTATTTATATGATTTCTATCCTCCTTCTTCCCGTACTTCCCACTCCCTCTTAGATTCACGGCCTCTTATTTTTAATTATTGTCACTATGTATATACAAATAAATTTTTGAATTCAACTTGCTTGGTCCCTTTAATGTTGCTTATATGTATACATGTTTGGGTCTACCTATGAAGGGGTTCATCCCTAAACAGGATTGATTTTTCCCTGCCTCTTCAAACTATAGCTCTCCATTTAGGGGTAGGGACTTACGGGATTTCTCTCATCTACACTGGTGTGTCGACTAGTGCTGTCATTTTTCAGGCATTTTTAAGGCAGCCATATTGTTGAGACTGCATGGGTAAAGACTTCCTAGTCCTCTGGCTCTTACAGTCCCTTCCATCCCCTCTTCAATGTCCCCTGGGCCTTAGCTTTAGAGGGAGTGTCTTGTAGATGTATTAGTTGAACTGGGAACCCCACTGTGAGTTGCTTTCTGCATTCTACCTGGTTGGGTTTTCCTGTGATAATCTCTGGCTACTGTAAAAAGGAAGTTCTTAGGTGAGAACTGAAAGCTGTACTTACCTGTGAGTACAAGGAAAATATTTAGAATTGAGTGAGAAACAGTGCTGGCTTAGGAAAATTTCAGTTATAGGTTTTCCTCTTGGGTCCATGGATTAAACAGCCAGGTGTAGTGGGCTAAGTTTACAGTACCAGGCATTAATTCTCCCTTTAATTTAAAGGGCCTTCAGTCAAATTACATGACTGTTGTTTGTCACCGGGATAGATTGTACCTTTCAAGGTATCTTACCATTCTGGTTATTGATGTGGCTCATATCCAGCAAAGTAGGACCACTGGCTGCTTTTTCTCTCTTAGTGGCTTTCATAGCTCATGTTTTGTCAATAATGTACACCAGGAGGTGGCCTGCAGATCAGATCCAGCCTGATTCCTCAAAGTTCTGTGCGCAGAGTGTATGCTGACTTCAGCAATGTGTTCTTCCCTCCAATTCCCAGGAGACACCCAAGGACACCTGCCTATATAGTTTTTGGAGTGGCTTAGACCACTGACCAGCAACTAAAAATGAGGCTTCCCATTCCTGGCACTGGGGGCTTTGAGAGATAGTCTATGGCTTTTTGGGGGGAGCACTATCACTCAGGTGGTATAACTTCATTTATACTGTATACCTATAGAAAAATATAAATAAGTATGCAAGTCCACTTATATTCTATATGTTCTTTAAGTAAACATACAATGATATGACTCTCCAGACTTTTTCAAGCATCCCTGTGTTATGTATCCCTCTGCCCACTCTCTCCCTCAGTAGTGCCCCCATCTTGGCTTCCTATTTAAAGCAGACCCAACTTTTCCATTTCCCATTTTGTAGTACTGTGCTCTACTATCCATCTCTCGAGAGTTCTTCCCCTTTCACTGCCCTCATAATTCCCTGTTAATGTCCTTGCACCTGTGCTTCCTCCAGGATATAACATAAAGATATAGATTCTCAGATAAGACAGAATGTGTGGCATTTATCTTGTTGTGTCTGGGTTACCTTACTCAATATAATCTTTCTAGGCACATCCATATACCTGCAAATTTCATTATTTTATTTCTCCTTAGATCTAAATAGTATTCCATAGTGCATACATATCAGTCGAAGGACCTGTATGCTGTTTCCGTATCCTAGCTATTGTGAGTAAAGCACCAATGAGCTTGACAGAGCAAGTATCTGAGGAGTAGGAAGCTGAGATCTTTGGGGAGATGACAAGGAGTGGTATAATTGGGTCATGGGGTAGAACTTAGTTTTATTTTATAGCTTTTTGAGACTCATCCATGCTTATGTTTAGAGTGACTGCACCAGCTCACAGCCCCATCAACGATTAACCAAGCCTACCCTTACCACTCATCTTCATTAGCATTTGTGGTCAGTTGTTTTCTTGACCTTAGTTATTCTGATACAGTAAGATGAAAATTTCAAAGTAATTTTCATTTGTATTTCCATAATAGCTAACGATAATGAACACTTTGTGATAATTTGTTAGATGTTTTTATTTCTTCTTTTGAGAATTCTCTGTTCATACCAGTTGTCCATTGTTTAAAGGGTCATTTGTTTTCTTAACTCCATTTTTTGAATTCTTTATACATCTGGATATTAATCCTCTTCCAGTTGTATAACTAGACACTATTGTCTCCCATGCTGTGGACTTCATTTGATTGTTTCCTTTTGCTATGCAGAAGCTTTTTACTTTCATGAGGTTGCCCTTGTTAGTTGTTGACCTTAATTCCTGGACTAAATATTAGTGACCACATCCTCAGTTTATCCTGAATAGCATGTTCTGATATAGAAGCTACATGAACTTTTTATGGTCATCAGACAAAAGAAAGTCATAGATCAGTGTGTTTACCAACTGCTCTGGTGAGGCCAGCAGGTGCTGGGTTATAGCAGGGTGGAGGAGTCTCTACTACAGGTTTCTGATGCTGTCAGATGATACGCTAAGCTTTGAGGATGGTGGAAGTTAGTGATCTACTAAATGGATACCTTCAAAAAGATCTTAACTGTTAGTTGAGTGGATGCTATGTCAGATATAGAGGTGGGTAATAAACAAGTACCAGAGGGACTAAACAGTATCCAAGGTAATTTGGGGACTTAAAATGCAATATTCCAACTCGCTATAATTGTGATGTTCTAATCCACCTTGTAGAATGTTCAGCTTAAGTATAATTTCCTTTTTTGTCTTGAGAAGAGCTTCAATTCACAGTATGACTAGACCTGCTGTGAGAAAGATGAGGAAGAAAGACAACAAAGGAGGAAAGGACACCATGGAAGAATGAAGCAGGGAGATGGGGAGAATGTCAGGAAATGCTCACAGATCTCAAGAGGAGGAAGGAGTACTGGCAATGATTCCAGTCTTTCCAGTGGAATCTGGTGTTCCAGTCCTCGTGCCTGGAGGTTCCGCATAAACCAAGGAGGAAAACAGGAGTGAGAGAGAGGGGTCTTCATGAAAAGGAGACAAAGAAATGAGCTTCACCCTGAGAAAGTTCCCCTTCCAAGGTCACTTCCCTTCGAGGGGTGTAGGGTTGGCTCCTTTGAAGGGCTGCTGCCTGCTTTCCCGTCTCTCCACTTCTTCCCTGATCCTGCTCAGCCAGGCGCCTTCTGTTTGTTGACAGCTCTGGGTTTTAAAGTTAGTACTACCACCAGGCATTCCTGCTAATGGAAGAAGTCCAAACTCTATTTGGCCACGAATACAATTACACCCACAGAAGTGTATTTTTGCTCGCAGCTTTAGTCTTCATTTTGCCAGGTAGGTAATTTATACAGAGCTAGAAAAAGATTGTTTGGGGCAAGTATACAGTCCATCGCCACTGAGAGACACAGCCTCTGTGCCTGAGTTCAAGACAGTGAGCCCTTCACAGAATTGTTCCACTTTCCGTTTTCTTTGGAATTAAATGGAATTTCATGTTTCTTTGTCGCCTACAAGGGCAAGAAAAGTGTCATGAGGAAACTCTCAGTTCCCTCAAATATTCAAGTCAAAGGTAGCCATCTGTGTATTATGTGAGGTTCTCCATGAATAGCTTTGTGTGTGCTTCTTATTTTCAACAAACACACCCTTGAAGTGCAGCCACAGTCAACTCCCTCAGGAAACTTGCTAAGGAGGCACCCTGATCCCTCAGGCAACTCACTCACATTGACTGGTGTCCACAGACAAGAGGCATTCTGACTGCTTCCTTTTTTTCTGCTGCTTTAGTTGCAGACAAATTGAATTATCTCTCCGATATTATCAGCAGCCGTCAAAAAGAATATTATACTCACATTTCTATTTTTATTCAGAAAACATAAAAGCATATAACACAGTCACTCCAACAGCAACTTCAGTCATTTCTTATGCTGTTTACTTACAAGTAAACAAGCAACTACATGCTAATCATCAATTTTTTCAGATTAGGTCTGAGGGCATTCCAGGAGTGGGCAACTGCCTTGACACATGAGATTTTAAGGGCTCTCACCAATCCCTCTTCCCCTAGGTGTATTTTCCTAGATGAATCCCCCAACAAATCATGTGAACAGCTCACGAAGCCCAGTAAATCCACCTTGGATGGAAAACAAGCAACAGTGGGAGCCAAATCTCTCAGGCAAGGTGTGCAATTAGGTCAGGGAGGAAATTCAGAGCATGAAACCAAAGACAAGAGAATAAATACACTCGGGGACAGACAAAAACAGGGTGTATAAGTCACCACGTGATGAGGAAGGGAAAGATGACAACAGGAAACAGTACATTTCCAGGGTCCTTTAAGAATGTTTGCTATGCCCCTTCTATTCATGCCCGCTGTCACCAGCAGGACCTTCTGACTCAGTGAGTACCTTCTCCAGAAACTGCGTATTCGTGCTTACTGTATGTAGCAAGGGTTTCCCTCGTGTTTTCACTCTGTTTTCCTTTCTTTCCCTTTTCTTTTCTCTCTTTTCTTCCTTTTTGAGAGAAGGGAAGAGGAGAGAAATGTTTTAAATTTTACACAAGGAAAAAGGAAAAAACTTCTAGTTTTCAAACCTGATTTCCATTTAGCTTTATTCTTTTGGTTCCCTAATCAGTGAAAACGTTCTATTACTTACTCAACCACATGAGATAATATGCACAAAATAGTCTGGAAAATACAATACTGTGCAAATTAGTGTTTTCTATTTTGACTATTGTTGCTATTCTCTCTGAGTGCATGGAAGTTGCCTTGAACAGACTCCCAAGACAAATCTTTTGCATTTGTTCATACAGTTGCTCGGATCCACTTCCATAGGTGAATACATTCATCTTTGTCCAGCCTCTGGCGAGACGTCACTCCACCTTCTGTGGCCAGAGAAGAATAGTTCTGAATAAAAAATAAAAAATGAATTGACATTCATACCTCCTGCTCCAGTCATCTGTCTGTCATAAGCCTCTGACTACAATCAGGAGAAAAAAACCTGAGCAATCACTGCATGGTTTTTGGGGGGTGGGGTGGTTTGTGTGTGTGTGTGTGTGTGTGTGTGTGTGTGTGTGTGTGTGTGTGTGTGAACATTCTTCAGTCTGTGTTTCAAGAAGGTATTTTTGTTAAGGATTTTTTTTGTAGCTTTCCCAATATATAACCTTTTGATGATGTAACCTGAATCTCTATAAACTATATACCATGTGTCAGAATCAAATGTTCTTAAAATATTATCAGCTGTTGCTAACTATATTTTGCACATTCCTTCCTAATTCTATGTTATATAGTAATTGATACACAGCCCACAAAACATCTAAAAATACTTTCTAAAGCAAAATAAATGCTTCCAATTTCTTTCTACTCTATGGTAAATGTAAGCCACAAAAACCAATGTATAAATTTGTAACTACAGTTCAGGAAGGAAAGAGAGGGAATCATGAAGCAATGGTTTCGACAGCTCAGCACTGACTTCGTCTCCCCCTAATTACCAATCCACACAGAGTTCAAAGGGTTAGGATCCACTAAGACCATGCCCTTTCTGCCCCAGCTGCTGAAGCACTCCTTCTCTAGGTCAAGATATTGCTTTCATTTGAAATGAACAAGCAGAAAGAAGCAGGCAAGTTGGTAAGACACAGTCACATGCCTGTTCAGTAGTCACTCCCCTCCATCTGTGCAAGCAAGATTATAACTTTCTATGGGTATCCTACACTGCCTTTCCAGGCTCACCACTCTTTGAAAGAACTTCTTCACTTAGCAATAAACAGTACGTAGGCCTTGCCTTTGGTCCCATGTAGGACAAGCCATGTCCGAAGTTATACTGAGCAAACTGAGGGGATGAACTAGCTCTATGCTGTGATAGAGGTTCCCGCCCTCTCCTGATGAAAGAGTTCATGTTATTTCGCATAGGAATGGAGTCTTCAAAAGTCAAATCAATGAATTAAAGAACAGGCTGGTGTTACCAGGGCCTGAGAGTGAGGTGTACACAGATAAATGAGACATTGGTAAAGGAACCTGACAGTTTGTTGTTACTGAACTGAATTCAGTCATCTGCTTCAGTGCTGTGGTGTTCATGGAGACTCAGATTAGAGAATTCTGTTGAGTAGTTTGGATATGGGTAAATTTATTGACTGTTTCATGCTCAAGACTCAACTATACAGAAGTAGTCATTTCCATTATGCATGTAACTTTCAATAATAATGATAATTGCCCTTCTAAAGTTACATTGTCCTGGATTACAGACCATCTCAGAAGTTGATTATTGTTTGAAACAGACAAGGGACTACCAAATAATATGATTACACCATGATTTTTGTGTCAAATAATAATCCCCAAAATTCAATCAGCATTTTTAAAATGCTGCTCTAATATAGGACATTATAAAAATAGAATTTCTTGTATGCCATTAGAAAATGTCAAAATTTTAATAATATAAATTGTAACAGAAGGATTTCATTTTGCCTAATTAAAGCAAAGTTTGTTTTGTTTTTAAAGTAACATTTTTATTCATGAATACCAACGCTCCAAAGAGGCAATAAAGGGTGTGAAGACCAGACTTGATGGGATAAATCAGAGCACTTATCCTGTATCTCCAGCATATTCATGTGTCGTTTTCTTACTTGCTGCTTATTTTCACTCATGTCTATCTAGTTTTCTAGTGATAACAAGATTTTCCCATTTTACTTCTGCTAAGAGATAATTACTGCTGTCACAAATTGCAACATAACACAGAAGTTTTAAAGGCCACTCCATGTGCCCCTAAATAAAGACTCTCTAAGTAGAATTTTTTAAAATAACAGGCAAACAAGCAAGGCAGGTGAGGTTAGCTTCTCTCACATACTACTATTTCAGTTTATTCTGTAGCCTGGTCCCAGAGCTGCTTCTAAATAATCACTCAGAGGCTTAATATTAGTTATACTTGTTTGACTTATAGCTCAGACTTATTATTGTCTAGTTCTTACATTTAAATTACCTTATTTCTATTAATCTAAGTATTGCCATGTGGCCATGGCAGTAACAGTCTGCGGGCATCTTACTTTATAGGAGGCTGGCTATTCTACCTAGCTACTAGCCAAGTCATTTTCATTATTAATCAATGGTAATAAAACATATTCACAGCATTTATGGAGACATCCCACATCATTTCCCCTTTTCTGCCTAGTCAAAAAGGAAAGTTGACTTTAATATCGCAAAATTATGTATAATAAAAGTTATTAAGCAACTGTTTCAGCTATACTTGACAAAATTAAAGAAAATACTCTGTCTTCCATCCTATCTTTGTGAGTCTAAAGTTTTATATCTAATTTATCTTTTGTCATAATTAAAGAAAACTATAATTATAACTATCCAGTCTTCAACTCCATCAAAGTCCCCAGAAGGCTATAATATTACCTAAGTAAACAGGAAGTGCATTGAAAGCAACTCCCAAAATTCTAGAAATTACAGAGACATCTGGCTGCCCCAAAGTTCTTGTACAACATTAGGGCATCCATCTTCAGCCTACAGGCCTAGAGTATCTGGCGGATTTCTCAGTGAAGCAGGAAATTTGAAGGACTGTCCTGCCTACTTTGGCAAAATTTGCCAGTCACTTTCTTCTGTGTCCTGTAGAATGTCTGGCAGACCCTTTCATGAAGTAAGAACCCTGAAAGACTGCCCCATCTTGTTTTGGAAAGTACAGGAGTAATTTTCCTGTGGGTCCTGTATGTCCAGCTTATACAGCATATTATCAAACAGTCCAGAAAAGATCAGTTTCTTGCCCAAATGGCTGACCTTGCTACATTGAAAGCAAACTCCATAAGAAGTTTCTTCATCCTCTTGAGGTAACTGGTACTGCCAGGAGCAGATGTGTCTCACTGTTGAGAAAAGTCTAAGTTCATAACACATTTTAAATGCCATATTCTTTGACTTTGAAGTGTTTGAAGATTACTTACCCATCTGAAATATAGGCCTGCATATCTAGAAAACATACCTAACATGACTATATGCATGACTCTTACAGATAACTATTAATTTTGTATTTCTCAATTATATATTACATTTTTAAATGAACTGCATGAACATAATACCTTAAACAAGAGTAGAAATATACAGTAATATAACAAAATTGACCTTAAATTTGTATCAATATACAAAAATAGAAACATATATACAGTATAACAAAATTAACTCTAAATTTTTATCATTATACCAAAATCCATGCCAATGCAAAATGTCTGAGGTTAATAGTTGTTTCTACCCTATATCTTTCTTTAATTTTTATTTAAATTAAAAACAATCTTATTTTACATACCAATCTCAGTTCCCTCTCCCTTCCATCCTCCCACAAATCCCCCATCCCACCTCCCCATCCACTCCCCAGGGAGGGTGAGGGGGATCATCAAAGTCTGTCGGTTCATTTGGGGCAGGGACTGGGCTGTCCCCTGTGTGTCTAGGCTCAAAGAGTTTCCTCCATATGAACGGGCTCCCAAAGCCCATTCATGCACTAGGGATGAATACTGGTTCCACTGCCAGAGGCCCAGATCTTTCCAACTGACACCCACATTGAGGAGGTCTGGTTCAGTCCTATGCTGGTTCCCCAGCTGTCAGACTGGGGTCCATTAACTCCCACTTGCTCAGGTCAGCTGTTTCTGTGGGTTTCCCTAGCATGGTCTTTACGCCTTTGCTCAGCACTCCTCCCTCTCTACAACTGGAGTCCAAGAGTTCGGCTCAGTGCTTAGCTATGAATCTCTGCTTTTGCCTCCATCAGCCACGGGGTGAAGGCTCTAGGATGGCATGTAAGGTAGTCATCATACTCATTATAGGGGAAGGGCATTTAAGGAAGCCTCTCCACTATTGTTTAGATTCTTAGTTGGGGTCATCCTAGTATATCTCTGGACATTTCCCTAGTGACAGGTTTCTCTTTAAGCCTATAATGGCTCCCTGAATTAAGGTATCGCTTTCCTTACTCTCCTTCTCTATTCTTCCCTTAACTCTGTCTTCCTGATCCCTCATGTTCTCCTACCACCTCCCCTTCTCCTCTCTTCTTTCTCCTACCTTCCTCCCCTTCCCCACATGCTCCCAATTTGATCAGGAGATCTTGTCCCTTTCCCCTTCTCCAGAGGATCATTTATGTCTCTCTTAGGGTTCTCCTTGTTTTCCAGCTTCTCTGGGGTTGTGGATTGTAGGCTGGTAATCCTTTGCTCTATGTCTAGTATCCACTTAGGAGTGAGTACATACCATGTTTTTCTTTCTGTGTCTGGGTTACCTCACTCAGGATGGTTTCTTCTAGTTCCATCCATTTGCTTGTGAATTTCAAGGTAGTACTCCATTGTGTAAATGTACCACATTTTCTTTATTCATTCTTTGGTTGAGGGACACCTACGTTGCTTCCAGGTTCTGGTATTACAAACAATGCTGCTATGAACATAGTGGAACAGATGTCCTTGTGGTATCAATGCGCATCCTTTGGGTATATGCCTAAGAGTGGAATTGCTTGTGGTAGACTGATTCCCATTTTCCTGAGAAACCACCATACTGATTTCCAAAGTGGCTGTACAAGTTTGCACTCCTAACAGCAGTGGAGGAGTGTTCCCCTTTCTCCACATCCTCTCCAGCATGAACTGTCCTTGGTGTTTTTTATTTTAGTCGTTCTGAAAGGTATAAGATGGCATCTCAGAGTTATTTTGAATTTCAATTCCCTGTGGCTAAGGATGTTGAACAATTTCTTAAGTGCCTTTCAGTCATTTTAGATTACTCTATTGAAAATTCTCTATTTAGTTCTGTACCTCACTTTTTAATTGGATTATTTGGTATTTTGGTGACTTGTTTTTTGAGTTCTTTGTATATTTTGGAAATCAGCCCTCTGTCAGATGTGGGGTTGGTGAATATCTTTTCCCATTCTGTGGGCTGCCTTTTTGTCTTGCTGACTATGTCCTTTGCCTTACAGAAGCTTCTCAGTTTAAGTAGGTTCCATTTATAATGCAGACTCTCTGTGTATTTTCCATCTTTACATGGCTTATTAGTTTTTTATTACTCTATTTGTAAAGGACTTTGTTTTTATTATCTCTATATTATTCCTTCAGTCTATGACTGTCTCTATCCTTTTTCTTCTCTCTTTTATCTATGCACACTTTCTAAACACAATGTGACCCATTTAGAGGTTTCTTTATGTCTAAATCTGTCTTTATTTTAGTCTGTAATCCTTTTCTGGTCACTGCTTTAAACTGCTAAGCAGGCTTGGCTAGGACCAAAGAGGAGGCTTTGGATGCTGGCTCTGCCCCATTAGGCTTCCCAACATGGCAGAGGTTTGTTCACCGCCAGCTCCGGGAGCCTTGTTCACTGCCCCAACTGGGAAGCAGTGAGTCCATGCCACAGCCAAGCAGCTTGTAGCACACTGTCCATGAACCTTTGTTCGTCTGTGTGAGTAAAGTCTAAATCCACCCTGCAGTGCGGTGCACGTCTTAGATATGCCTCTGTGTAGTGTATCGGGAATCCGTCATGCAGTGCTCAATCCTCTCCCCTTTTTTAAGCTTATTTTTAAAGCTTTCTCAGGCCCTATGGAAATTCAAGAACCTCATGTTGGTAAGTCATTTGTAGCTGGAAGATTTTATGTGTCCTGCCTAGTCCTGCAGCTGCTTCCAAATAATCACTCAGAGGCTTAATATTAATTATGATTGTTTGACTTATAGCTCAGGCTTATTGTTGTCTACCTCTTACATTTAAATTAAGCCACTTCTATTACTCTAAATATCGCTCGTGGCATTACTGGTCTGCTGGCATCTTCATCCTCCAGTGGCTGCTAGCATCCCTCTGACTCTGCCATTCTTTCTCCCTACATATCTGCTTGGATTTCCCACCTGGCTCTGTTCTCCCTGGATACTGGCCAAAGTAGCTTCTATATCAACCAGTGATAACAAAACATATTCACAGCAGATAGGAAGATATCCCACATCATTATTCAAAGCCTGTTGTAGTCGTTACTCTGCCCCTGAAGAGGATCAGAGGAAAGAAACAATAAGTGGTATCCTAGCACCTGGGGTACCAATAGAAACAGAGACCAAAAAAGTCCCAAAAAAGATGCAGAGTGTGTAGTTAATACTAACCCAGTATAAGTCAGGGTTGTGTGGATGGTCTCATAATTACCGAGAACAGTTTTGAGTCACATTTGTAAAGATATATTTCTATTGTTTCTAATTGGGTGGTGCCTGAGTACAGGAGCCTGAGATTCACAAGGAGGTGTTGGATCGCCTGCAGTTGGAGTTATAGTAGCTTGTGAGCCACACAGCCTAGGCACCGTGAACCACACTTGGGTCCTTTGCAAGAGCAGTACTTGCTCATAACCACTGAGTCATTTCTCCAGACTTCTTGTTGTCTTTGTTATTGTTGTTGTTTTGTGTGCATATTATTACACGGCAGGGAGTTAACTACAGAGGTTAGAAGAGGGCATTGGACAGCTAATGAAACTGGAGTTACAAAGGATGTGAGCTATCCATTGTGAGGGCTGGGAACCAAATCCAGTCCTCTGGAAGAACAGCTATCAGCCACTGAGCCACCCCACCCCCACTAGCCCCTGTATTGAGCATGCACACGCTTAAATCTTCCTTAGCTGGGGTAGTCTACCCTGTCATTGGGGACTTCTGTCTGTGGATTGACTCCCTGAATTTTCTTATGGTGAAAGCAGTAACTTCCCTGTTTCCTATACATTGTGCATGCAGCCAGCATCTCTGAGTCTGAGATCAGCCTGGCAAATAGGATGACTCCGGACAGCCAAGGCAACAGAGAAAAAGACTCTGTCTCAAAATAAAATAGAATAAAATAAATATTATATATGAAATATGTAACCCAGAGTTATAGTGATCTAACTCATTTTTAAACAGTGAATAGATAAAAGAGAAATGCAAAAGTATTCACGAGATTATTCCTGCATAACAGAATGACAAGGAGCTTCAATACCACCCAATTGACTGACCTGAGAATGAGACTAAGACCCAAGAAAGATGCCGTTTGGGGCAGAAATGTCTATGAGACTGAATTCAATGTACACCACATAAACCAAATAGGTCATGCAAAGGGGAAAGAATGGAAATATTAGAAGACTGGCCTTAAAAAGGAGAAAGGCAAACTCCGGCTGCAATCCAGAGGTTAAATGGGAGGGATATTCCATTGGAATGAGTGGGGAAGGAAGCTGAGAGTAAGTCTGGAAGCCCCCACCTCTTCTCCAAAGGGTGGGCCATGCAGAAATGGACGACAAGGTGCAGCCAAGGGGCCAGACTGACTAAAGAGAAGCAATGCCATCACCAAGCGTGAAAAGAAAATAAGGGTGAAAGATTAGGAGGCGGGACACATAAGTGATAGGAATTGGGCATATATAGGATGGCGTCTATACTGGCCAGCCATGCATATGACTGGAGAGCTTTTTAGAAAACTGAGAATGGAATAATGAGAAGAGCTTTACCTCAGGGAGTTTTCAGTGAGTAGAGGTGAGACTTAGGATCAAGCCTCCCTACGCTTGCTAAGACATTAATATCAAAACCTAATATTGATATTAAATAAATCACCAAATTCTTGCTATAGTCTGTAATACATAACTAGTAATAATTCTCTAAAAATGTGTGGATGAATGCGAATACTCATAACAGTGTGTGTCCTGTGAGCACTGCTATAAGCACTTCTCTTTTGATATTTCAATATCCAGCAGTGTGTAATTATATAATGTCAACCTGTTACGTTTAGAAATAATACCCCACAGGGGTTGGCTTATATCACAAGATCTTTGAATATGAATGTAGTTACAAGAATTTTCATTTTGATTATACCTGTGTTGAGGCAGTATATTGCTATAGGTTGTTGTAATAACATTTCAAATTCTATGGCACTTTCATCCAGTTATTTGGGGGCATGTTACTGAAAGCAGGAGAACCAATATTCAATGATTCAAAAACACAAAGCTGTGATTCTTTCCTTACTTATTGTGGAACATATCATGGATAAGAACATTTTGTTGCTGTTTTTTCTATTTTTTAAAAAAATTGGTAATGCAGAGAATTATGTTAATATGACTATAGACACAATTACTTGAAGTATGCAATTACATAATGAAGTAGACTATATATAATAAGAAAACTGAATATCTAGAACAAAGAAAGGACAGTAAGATTTCTTGGAATTCTAGTAGAAAACACATTGCATTTTAAACGTGACAAAAGTGTGCTTCTTTCTTAATTGCTTTCTCAGTACGTAACAAGACTTATGTTTGGAGATGCATAAGCTGTGTCTGAGGGCTAGGTGAACTCACCAGGACTGGTTAGATCTACAACTAGTTTGTCAACATTCCCCCTGACTAATCCATACTGTACAAAGGCAGCACATTTTCAAGACAAGGAACACACAGACAGAAAGCTTCATAAACACAGCAGAGAAGGAAGGTGATGTAGCCAGTCACAGCACAAATCTACAGTAGAGTTCCGATCAGTGTATTTGTTGATTACAATGAAAATTATGGTGCTAGAGTATTACAATTATTTTAAGAAAGAAAATACAATGCTATTTAGCATCAACTCTGATGCATCATAACTTGAAACTAAGACTTTCATGCAATCCTGTAGGCTAAGGGCTTGCCTTTGCATAATGTTCTGTTTTAATAATACATTTGAATGGAAGTACCTCCAGGTGCACAATTTCTTACTCACTCCATAAAGTTTTGACAAGACCTAATGTGTTCCAGGTATCAGAACAGGGACCGGAGTGCACACTGTTGAGTTAGGCAGATAACCCTATGCTTCACAGATGCTGGGCAAACAAGTCCTGTACTCATGAGCAGAAATGCTGGATGCATGAGCTCATCTAACAGGATGGATGAGGGGAGCACTATGCAAAATAAACTCTAAAGCTGATCAAGACCCCCCTGAATCTGGGTGTCAGTGAGGAGGCCTAGGGAATCTATTGAGCCTTGGGCAGCAGATCAGTACCCATCCCAAGTATACACACGGACTTTGGACTCCTATAGAACAATGTGAGGTGCACTCTCACCCTGAACTCTTGGGGAAGGGTCTAGGCCCTGCCCTATATGAAATGACAGACTATGGACACCCCCATGGAGGGCCTCACCCTCCCTGGAGAAATGAGGGGATAACGGGGGGGTTGGGGGGAGGGCGCGGGAGGAGGGGAGGGAATGGGAGAGGGACCTGGAACTGACTTGTGAAGCAACCTCATTTCTTATCTAAATTTAAACTGGAAAATAAAATATAAAAAAAATAAAAAATAAAAAAATAAACTCTAAAGGAGAAGCTGGAGGCAGGATTCAGCTGGGCAAAGAGAGGTTCCCCAAGAGTCCAAAGCTGAGGAGTAGACTACCAAACTCACTGTGTGTGTTTCTGGGGTGAGTTTCTTCTGAGCAGTGAGTGCGACGAGCACAGAAACTACCCTGATTTGGGGGATCATTGTACCTGTCACACAGTAGGTACCCACGAATTATTCCCTGTATAAATGTACACGAAAGGCAGCTTGCTGGGTACGTAGCACAAAATGTTTCTATAGCAGTAATCAAGGAACAGAAGATAGAGGAAGTTATGGATGTGTTCAGATGGTTCCATTTTATTCTTAGAACGATGGACATTATTAAAGTTTTAATGCATGGCAGCCACACATCCATCCAGAAAGATGATTCTTCTGTTATCATATTTCATATCTCATTTGCTATAAAATGTACTGCCATGTGCAGCATTAAAACAAATGTCTTTCAAACTGTATGTAAAAATGGGTATAAGGTTGTGAGGGGTGACTCAATGGGTAAAGAACTTGTTGCACAAGCATACGAATCTGAATTTGGGTCCCAAAACCCAGGTAAGGTGTGGTACCACATTAAGTAATCCCAATGTACCTACAGTGACTAACTAGGCCAGCAGGTCCCCGGGGGTTTGAGGGCCAGATGGCCTGTCTTATTCAGTGATGAACAGAAGACCCTGCCTCAAATATGGTAGCAAACAAAGACCAATACTGAGGTTGTTTTCTGACCTTTACATATACATCTTGGTACACACACACACACACACACACACACACACACACACACACACACGGGGTGGGGAGAAGGGGGAGGCAGACGGGGAAGGAGGGGGAGAGAGAAGGGGAGTATAACTTTTTAAAAAAGACTGGGATGTAGGTCATTGATGATGTGTCTGACCCAGCATGTCCTTCAATACAATCCTCAGTGGTGCTGGCCTTAAAAGGGGATGGGGGGAATCGACTGTAGAAAATATATTCTGATTTCAGAAATGTTAAATTGAAAGAAAAAGGTAAAAACTTTGAAAAGCACAGACTTATGGAAAGAAAACAGGTTAGAAGTGGAAAACAGAGTGGACACACAGTGACTAATTAGAGGGCAACTCTCAAGGATGCCTTGGTGTTTCCGTCTACCGCCAAAGTATGGGACAAGCAGGTTAGCGTCTGCTAGAACGAAAGTAATGGACAGAGTGAGGGTTGTCTAGGACGGATGGAGTAAAGCGAGCAGGGCAGAGACATTTCAAAGCTACTGGTGCTGTTTACTGAGCTGGAAACAGTGTGGAAACTACGGATCCGGCTGCAGACTGAAATTTGCAATTTATCAGCATTCAGGTGGTGAGTCAGTTTGTGGGAGCAACGAGATTTCTTTCCCCCTAGGGCAGCAGTTTTTCAGTCAAGGGTAATGAGTCCAGCTGCACTGATGAGGTTGAGTTGGAGGGGGGTGCCAGTGATGGGAGATGGAAACACACTGAAAGGGCCAGAAACGAAAATGAGGGTCTGACACACAGAGACATCTTCCGCAAGAACAAAAAGAAAATCCAGACAGTGTAAAGCTGAAAACCCAGTACTCAGTGACTCAGCTACCAACGGAGACGGAGGCAGAATTATAGGTTCTGGAAATCACGGTGACCTTGGCTACAATGGAGGGCAGAAGAGCCGCAGAAAGAAGTGTTGGACATGGAAGAAATTGAGCTGGGGTCCAGGCTTTTTGCTGAAGATGCCTGTGTGTGTCAGACCCTCATTTTCTTTCTGGGAAATGTGTAGGCAAACTTGTCTACTAGGCAGGTAAAACATGGACATCCCTCTGAACCCTCCCTACGGGAACCTAGCACCTGCTACACACAAGTAGGTGGACGACACCCTGACCTCACTCGTTTTATTCATGGGAAGAGGGGCAGCTCGCCACCTGACAACAGAGGTCTGCAGACAGATCAGAATTTCAGTTTTCACTCACTGGTTACTTACTTGAAGGTCTTGGAAAAACACACATACATATACAATATATGTCTATCTTTATATGACTGGCAATAAATACTAAGACTTTTTTAAAAGATCTTGGACAAGATATTTGATATCCCTGTGCCTTAGTTTCCCTAATGGGTAAACTGAGAGAATTGCCTGGTTTCTAAAGGTGTTTATGAATTGGAACAGCGACAAAGGTTTGATAGAGGCTGGCTACTTTTATTACCTGTCTCCGTGTACACTTCAACTCTGGAACAATTTCTTCCAGCACTCAAAATTGTGTTTTTCCCTTCTTCCACAGAGTATTTATTGGCCCCTGCTATGTGGGAGGTACTGGCAACCATCTGCATATGCTGTATCTCTCCGTATCTTATTCTGGTCATCTGAGCTATGAGTTGCTTGCTACATTCCTCAATATTTCCGTTTACTGTAGTGTTTGACGTGTCCCTCTCCAGTGGAAGCTCCCTCTCCAGTGATGTCTTGAAGGAAAATGGCCTATTAGGAGGGGTGGTCTATTGGAGGAAGTGTGTCACTGTGGGGTTGGACTTTGAGATCTCTTTTGCTCAAGCGTCCCTCAGTGTGACTTTCTTTTTTTTTTCATCCACAAAAGCAACTGTTTACTACCCATTGTATTACTTTTTATTGAAACGCATCTTGCATTTAGTAAGGCTGTTTTCTGGGTTTTGCAGTACACTTTAATGTTAAAGATTAAATTATTTTTTACATGCAAGTAGTGTCTTTCCCCAAGTGGAACAATGATGATTAAAAAGATGACATACCACATGAAGTAAGTGTCTTTTTTAATTGAAAAGCAAGAAAATATCTAGTTACAGCCCCTCCAAAACCAAACTGGGTAGAGTAAACTACATATCTAGCAACATATTAAAAATTAAAGAAGAAAAAACAAGTCCTCAGATCTAATTAAGAGAGCCCAACTGTGTACAAGTTTACCAGCAGCAGAGAGGCTGAAAGATATCCTAATCCTGACAACCCCATTCACAACATTAACTTCAAGTTGCTGTGTTCCAGTTTCCGACTCCATGAACAAAGATCATGTTTTGTTAATTCTATTTCAGCATACTTCTCATAAGTTGTTTTATTTACAATGCCAACTTAGAAAGGCTCACTGAAATTAACTGGACAATGAACTAGGCAGAAATTGCTTTACAGAAAGAGGGAAAGCCCAAAATGCCACTTTCCACAGAGAACCCAAAGTTCCGTTTTATTCAGAGTAATCAGAAAAAACAAAAAAAAACTTTGCTCATAGAAGAAACTCAGCCATAGATCAAATCTGTACTGGAACTACACAGGCAATGAGGACAAGGCTGTGTTTGTCTACTGTTTTCTAATATTAACAATTATAAACAAAGCAGTGCAAGGGTTTAGAACAACCCTTCTAGTGTTACAGTGTCAGGCACAGTATTTTCACTTCTCTTCACACCACTGGTTCTCTTTGTGTACCTGGGCCTCTTCTTCTTCAGTAAAGTCGTTTTTTATATTGAAGGTTTTACGAATCTCCTCAGGAGTTTTCCCTTTGATGTCTAAGTAGTTTGCAGACAGAATAAGTTCAAAAAGTGTTCCTTGGTCAACTTTCAGGAATTCTTGGTCCCAAACAGGAATATCATCTGTCCGCTTTTCTTTGTTCTCATCATCCTCAGGAGGAGGAGGGTCATCCTTGTGATGGGTGCACCACTGAATGACCTTTTTTAGAATTGCTGCATTAACATTTGGTAAAGGAACAGGATCATCATTTCCCTCATCATCCATTCCCAAATCTTCCAGCATGGTCTTGATGGTCACAGATTGTTTGGCAATTTCTACATCAACTTCAAATATCTCTCCATCAGAACTCTGCAACTTTATCGAAGGCATAGTGCTCAGCGAGGCTGACGGGCAGCGCTCCAACACGACCAGAAATACCGAAGACAAGGCCACTACAGTGTGACTTTCAATCGAATCCCTGTTCCCTGCAAGATGTAGGACTCTCAGCTCCAGCACCACATCGGCCTGTGCACTGCCATGCTCCCCTTCATGATGATAATGGATTGAACCCCTGAAACTGAAAGCTGCTACTTGAACCAAATGTTCACTTTATAAGAGTTGTTGTGGTCATGGTGTCTCTCACAGCAATAAAAACCATAAGACAGACACCCAAACTTTTTCCTGCTGGACTACATAAAGAAACGGAGGGAGACACCTGTGAGGTAAGGGAGAGCAGACCCAAGTTTGAACTTGTGTTTCAACCCAACTTGTGCATTTAAAAAGAAGAAAGTAACTACATGTCAGAGACTACGGTCCTTCAAAGTGACTGGATCTCCTTTATCTCCTGCATTTCAGGAAAAGACCACATCAGTTGCTTCCGGTTCTCTTTTCCTAGCATTTATAGGTTTAATCCTTATAGGGCCAGTCTTTTGGAGTCAGGCAGAGTTTATTCCTCGTTACCACTACTTTTCTTCATTGAATGCCTTGAAAACAAAGTGATTTTGCAGTTATTCTTCCCAATGTTTTTATTTACATACTCTTGTTTTTAATAGCAATTTCTAAATTCTTAGCCAGGCTGGGTGGTGGAAATTGCCCTTGCTGGAGAAGGGGTCACTGCGATTTATAATAAATCTGCATGCATATTCTCTGATGGTTTAATGATTCCTCTTTGCTTACTTGTTTTTAGAAAAATCCTCAGTCTGTTCTTTCTGCTAATTACTCACTCGCCTGGTTTTTCACTATTTTTCCTTTGAATCAGTTCCTTTTTAAGAACTTTTATCTCCTGGTGCTTACATGCCGCTAGGATATTACAGAGACTATCCCAAATACCAACACCCTGCCTGGAGACACCACAACAAATCCACCTGCTGTGTCAGAATCTGTGCTGACCAGCAGGGTCTCCTTCAGCCCTAATGCTTTTTCACCAACTCTTTACCTAGAGAACACACACTATAAAATTAAAATATTAATATGCATCTTCCATTTGCAGGGAAACAACATTTATTTGGTGTATCTTTACATAATGTCAGCCTTGAATTCCTTCCCTAACTATAAGTACCGCAATCAAGATGGAAGGAAAAGAACAGAAAAGAGCTATTCAGAGATCACCAAAGAGAAAGTGAGACAGAGAGACAGACAGAAACAAAGAAACAGAGAGACAGGATCAGAGAGAGAGAGAGACACCAGAGTGTAAGTGAGGAAGAAAAGTCAAGCAAAATTATTATACAAAGTATTCAGAGGCAATAGACTGAGTAGATACTTCTGATCTGATGGTGTGAAAGAAAATTCCTGGGGATAGAAATTTGGACAGTAAGTCCAAACCTCTTGTACACCGCTAAAAAAAAAATAAAATTAACTCTTTAGGCAAGCAACAGTGTAAACATTTAAGAGAAATGACATACTAAAGACCAATTAAACAAATGGGGTAGGGGCTGGAGAGATGGCTCAGCTGTTAAAGGCTAGTCTCACAACCAATAAATCAATAAATAACAAGTAAATAAATAACAAATGGGCTGGGGTATAATTCATTCCCAATTTAAACATTATACCCTATCAGATGTTTCCACACTGGTCTCTGATTATCTGGGTAATTTTCTTGTAATGTTAATCCCAAAGATTCAAGGAGAAAAACAACTGACCCAAATCATCACAGCCAAATTAACTAAAGCAAGCAATTAATTGAAGTGAGCTTTTTTATTTGTGTAAATGGGCTACCTCTCCCCAAAAGCGGGGTTTAAGACATCAGTGCTGGACAGAAGGTGGACAAGGTTTTCATGGCTCATGGGTGGGAGTTTCCAAATGAGGGATCTGGCAAGCAAAATAGGCAGGGTTACAGGAACAGGGTATAAGCATAACAAATTACTCATCATGACCTCCTGAAGCAAAGACACAATTGCATGCAGAATATAACAAAGTCGTCATAACAACATTTTGAAACAAAGGTCGGGTTGCAAGATGATTTTGAAACAAAAACATGTTTGCAGGTGGGGCATAGCTCATCCTTGAGAAACAAAGGTTTAATCACAAACAGAAATGAACCTACTTTACTCTAATATGGCAGGCGTTAAGCCTAAGATGGAGTCGGACTGGTTCATCAAATATAAACTGGTTCAGCAGATACAAACTCTCCTTCCTCCAGAAAATAGGAACAAAGTACAGAGGAGCTCTGGCCTGAAAGTAGATGACAGCTCAAAAGATCAACATGTTCCTTTCAAATCCCATAGAATGAAAAGAAATATTTGAAATGACTATGAATAATCATGACTCCCTATCACTGTGTGAAGATCTTCTAGGTAGGGAAATCTTTCCCTTTCTTTAATACACAAGATGCTACATTTTTGAGACAGAGATATTTTACAGAAACTCCCCAGCCATTAAATATGCTATTTGTGGCAATCTAAGTAAGTTGTCTTTTGCAACAGCTCTCACTTGCTTCACAGGATCTTCACTGTTCCCCTTGAAAAAGTCTGAATCATTGTGTGGGGGATGTTTTACCAAGGATGTCCAGAAACTGGGCAGATGATATGCCAACAGGAAGCAGAAAGTAATTCAGGGAGAGGCAAAAGAGAAACAGAATAAGAAACTTTCTGTATACCTTCAGATACTAGCAACAAATAACTCATGGGTTACACAAGAAGCTTCATTCTCTGCAAAGCAAAAGAGCTGTAATACTTTAGGAAGTAGAATCTTGACTTAGAGAAAGTTTCAATTAGAACAAAACTTCTTCAGGCCAAGCTTAGTAATTTCAAATACAAAACAAAAAAAACTGTAATATTAAAATAGACTTAAAAATTATAATTTACTTTTGTTGGACAAGCACATAAGAACTAAGGGCTAAACAGAGAGAGTGAATGAATGTGTGTTACAATCTTTCTAATGTCATGAATTACTTGGCTTTAAAAAAAGTGGATCTTCATACTTAGGGACAAAGCTTTGATATTTTAAGTTAAAAGGAAAAAAGTTTTCTCCAAAATGATGGCATCTGTGCCAGATAGTATGAATTTTAATTCTAACTCTGTCATTTCCTGTTACTTCCACATGTCCTACATCTATATTAATACCTGCTGTGGAAGTTTCTCTTGATGTACGTACGTAAAGCACCTGAAAATTCCAGAGAGGAAGGAATGGTGAACTGAACACACCTGCTTTATGTTTCTTCCCCTAAAACTCTTGTTTGTTTGTTTGTTTGTTTGTTTTTAAGAACAAAAGCAAGAAATGAAAAGAAAAATGGGAAACAAAACCTCTAAGAGACAAGAGCTGAAGACATAATTCGGAAACACGAGAAGCAAATGTATGGACTGTCTTGACATCTCAGAGAAAGATTTTTGTAAAATGTACATCTAACATCCAGCTGCACCAAAAGACTTGGAAACTCCCCAAATGCACAGGGCTGAGCCCTGCAGAACGATGGTCTGGAGTGAAGCAACATGAGGTTGTCTTCCTTCTCCAACCATGGTGCTTTTTGGAGATGGGGAACTCAAGAAGCTACGTAGTGAGGGCAGAAGGAATGGCAAAGCATGGACGTGGCACTGAGGTGAAGACAGGAACATTGCAGAGAAGCTGCAGTCTGAACAGACCTCCCCTACCCCCAACCCCAACACACACACACACACACACTCACACACACACACAGGCACACACGCACTCACGCATGTGCGCACGCACGCACACACTCACACCTTTCCTCACTTGACTGTCAGAAAAACAGTAGTGGCCTCAGGACAGAACAGTGGAAGACTCTCTGAATAAAATGAATCAGCTGGCCCAGGTGTGTGTGGAAATAGGAGAAGACAACCATAAAAATCAAGGGACCCATTAAGGAGGTCCAATATCAAAATATCAAGAGTTATTGAAAGAAAAAAATGCAAGAAAGCTCCCTAAACCCTGCAATTTATGAGCTTTTGAACTGTCCTGAATGATCACATCATTACAAAGTTTGCAGCTATACAAACTTAGCATATCCGACCATCAAGAGAGAATAAGATACTACCAGCTTCTAAAGAAAAGAAAATCACATATAAAGTAGGTGTAGCATCCACTACTGTGGACACATCCTTCCACCACAAGCATTCCACCCGAAACAACTGAAAGCTGGATTACACCAGCAATCCCCCATCACTGGATGGTCAAGGCAGCCTGGGTTTACAGGATCACAGCAGGAGGGGAAATGCTTGGAGACAAGCTATACCTTCACCAAAACTTGCACGCCCAGAACATCTGCCAATTTGCACGGTGGCGCACCAAACTCTCTGAAAGAGGTGGTCATAGACTGTGTTAAATGTTCTGATTTATGCCGGGCAGTGGTGGCGCACGCCTTTAATCCCAGCACTCGGGAGGCAGAGGCAGGCGGATCTCTGTGAGTTTGAGGCTGGGCTGGACCGATAGCCTCCGAAACAATACAGAGAAACCCTGTCTCGTAAAAACCAAAAAAAAAAAATGTTCTGATTTAGGAAAGGCAAAACAGGGGTGGAAAACAGCCATGTATTTTCAGCTGACAGCCACCTTAAAGGAAAAACAAAATGGCAATATATCATTATCAAAGACAAGATAAGGAATCTCTCCCTACATGCCCACTGTAGGGTGGAGGGAAATCTCTCTGAGAAAACATAAAATTATCCAGAATCTTAATTGTTTTTAATTTACAATGTCCAGCATTCAGAAAATATTAGCGGACAAGCCATTAAATGAGCTAACCAAAAGCAGAGAAATCCAAATAGAAAATAGAAACACACACATATTAGAGTTGCCAAAATAGTTTTTAAATGTATACAATTACATATTCAAGAAAAAGGATGGCAAGATGAAGACTTTCATCTAAACTGGCATCTATATTTTCAAACACATCAAATGGAAATTCTAGAATTGATAAAATAACTTTGGTGTAAGATGAAAATAAATACTTGGATATAAGGAAAATAAAGAACTGAAAAAACAGAAAAAGCAGAAGCATAAAGGGACACAGTAGAGAGGTGTGACAGATGAGTGACCATGTCCAAGAGAAAGCCCTGTGACTGTGATAAGCAGTCAGGCAGGAGGGAAAGAGTCCAGGCCTTGCTTCCACAGAGAGCATTATCATAGGCCTTGGCTGTCAGAGCAGCCATTCTCTTAGAGGATTCTGGGGGCTGAATAATGTACATGTAGAAAAGTAAGAACCAATTAAAAAAGGATATTTTTTCAGTGTTGGGAATTGAACCCCAGGGCTTATACCTTGAAGGAGTTTTTAATTTCAGTGAAAACATTTTTACTAGAAAGTAAATGATACATAGAATGTGTTTTCATTTATCTATGCTAAATAGGTGTATGTTCATAAATATGTAAACAAACATGGATTTAAAATGATTATATGATTTCATTCTAAAGATGAGAAAGAGTAATATTCCTTTATTAAAGAAACAAAGTAGAGAACTATACTATCATTTTTTTACAATAAGAAGTAGGAATGAATAATATTTAGAACTGACAAATCAAGAAATAGTACTGGAAGTTGTTACTTAGATAAAAACAGTTATTAGAGTAAATAGCTAAAAATAGAGCAGTTGTCTCCAGAGGGAAGGAATTAGAAGAGAAATAAAGAAGATCCACTGAGTGTTGAAGTCTCGTTTGGTTTCTTAAGAAAATGCAAGTAAAGTTTTAATAAGAACTTTTCATGCTAAAATCTAAATGGAAAACTAATTCCTAGCAGCAGCTGGCACACGCCATGTTTAATGGAGAGACTTGGGGCCTCAGGGTGCGTGGTGAAAGTGGGATTGGTTCCACAGTGAACCAAGGTCATTCGGTGGGAAAGGAGCTTTGCTGAAACTGTGCTCCTGTGTTTGTTTGTTTGTTTTCATTTCTTCCAAGCTCATAAACAGTCCAGCTCCTGGCCAATTAGTGAAGTCCCTTGGCTTTCTTTAGTTGATTATTAAATCTTCCAGGAACTTCAAGTCTTAGATTTCATTATGCTAACTGGTCCAGGTTGTGATTACAGGCAAGGAAGCCTCTGTAGAGAAGCTGGAGAAGAACAAAATGTCCATAGTGCTCAAGCCCTCCTCAGAGTCCCAATCAAGTCTACTTAGCTGACTTTCTATCTGAAAATATATATTCATCGTATGGCAATTTATAGTGTCAAATGCACACCAAGTCTGTTAAGCACACTTACAAACAAAGCGAGCCCACAGAAGAAACTTCGTAGTCCACTGCTAGAGTGCATGGTGTGAAGGATGGGGGAGTGGGGGGGGTAGACGGGTGGATATATAAAGATGCATACACTTTTTCAGGAGACATAACTTACCATACAAAGAGCAACTTAAGCATAGACATACAGAATCTCAGATCATGACAATACTTTATGTCCTTCCCTCCTACCCATTTTGGGTATACCTGAATCCAAACAGAGTTACCTTAGGTAGTCTCTGATATTAAAAACAGTGTTTGGAGGTGATTCAATTGTCTATAATCGATAAGAACATAAAAGTGCTAAGTCAGATAGGGAGACTCTGGGGAGACAATGATAACAAATGTGAGTGTCGAAACCTCCAACCCCATCCCAACCACCAAGTTCCAACATAAAACAGTGCAGAAGATAGGAAAGCAAACCCCAAAACCCACAAACAATGTCTAAAATACAAGATACATGAGTTAAATGCCAGAAGTCCCAATTTAAATAAACAGGGACAAAGCTTCCTGACTCCAAGACTGTGTGGAATCAGCATTTGTGAATATAAAAGGGTAGACGTCTGTTAAACCTGGGGAAATGTTACAGGCTAGAACAAGACTTTCTCATGAAAATAGAATGCTGCTCTGAAGATTTTTGTAGACTTACTTAACGCCACAAAAGATGGGTGAGATGTGCCTACAAAGATTGGGTCACAGAGCACTGTTGTAGAGCTAAGTCAAAAGTTACAACACTCAATAAGTTGTCATTATTTTAGAATTTAGTTATAAAACTAAAAGAATATGACTGTGTACATGTAGCCTTGTCTACACCAACATTCTCATATAATCTTTCATTTAAGCAATTACTTTCATACTCTGTTGCAAACTACAGTGATGCTAGAAAATCACTATATTGTAACTTTAAAATTGGCACTATGCAGTTGACCTTTCAAAATACAAATGTCTCGGCTAAATTCTCGAGTGCCCTTGTAGCATCAGGAATATTTCTCTCATCTTGGGAATATCAAAACTTCAGTTTTCCCTCTTAAAATGTATTAGAAGACCCTGTAGAGTACATCGAGATGGTGCCCCGAGGAGGTCTCTATTTATAATATGAAACATCTCATGCACAATTCTGGTTCCAGGCAGTTGTGCTTGAGGCAGAACAGAGTAGTCTGTCCCCAGTGAGTTCTTTAGGTGGCCCCCTACAATGCAAATTACACTGCCCTCAAGGTACCCTATAAATTAATTATAAAAATCTAAAATAAATAACACAACACAACAAAAAAAAGTTTGTCTTACTAAACTCAAATCTATTCCCCTCACTCAATATAACTTTTAAACAGAGCAGAGCAACAGTTGCCAGAAAAAAAACAATGGAATGGCTCACCTGGTAAAGGCACTTGCCACCAACTCTGATGACAGGAGTTTCATCCCTGGAACCCGCATACTGGAAAGAGAGAACTGCTTCTGTGAGTTGTCCTCTGACCTCCTCATGCAAGGGGCTGCCCATGTGCACACACACACACACACACACACACACACACACACACACACACAGAGCATGCATGCACAAATAAATGCTTTTCTAAAAGACATATGGAAGGGGTGGACTCTAGCACCCTGTAAGACATTCTTCTTGAATACATCTCTGAATTATACATTGTTAGCAGAGCAATGGAACCGTGTAAACATGGGTTTCTCAGGTGGATTCCTGCTCTTAGGGTACACGACTCTAGTTACAGAGAATCACACACCAACTTGTAAATTCCTTTTCTTTGAGACTTAGTGTCTGACTCTTGTGTTAATAGTGGAAGAATATGAAAACATACTGAGAATGATTGTTTTCATATGTTCCACAGCACAGGAGTATCATCCTTAGGAGAAGAAATATGACCTGCACCATTCGCCCAGCTTACTACCTGGCCAGATACAAAAGAAGGCCACAGCCCCTCCCCCATCCCACAGCTCCTACCAGGCTGCAGTTGGGATGTATGATCAGCAGCCAGAGAGGAACGGATCTCTTAAGTGAGAATTAAGAAGTCTCTGGGTAGGCACTGCCTCTGCCCTTGCCTGCATGCTACTGATGGGAGATGTCATTCTGTAAAACTGTCTCTTATTGGTTGTTGAATAAAGCACTGTTGGCCAATAGGGAAGCAAGATAGATGGGACTCGGAGTTGAGGAGGATTCTGCGGAAGAGAGACAGAGTCAGACACGATGTAGCTGCCAGAGTAAGAGGTCTGGACCCTTTTCTCCAGTAAGAGAAATACTTACATTAATAATTATGGGTTAAATACTTAAGTCAGAGCTAGCCAGTAAGAAACAAGCAAATGGAGAACAGCTTCATAAATTAACATAGCGTCCTGTGTATTATTTGGGAGCTTAACCAGCAATGGAACCCAGGCAGGAATCCCACAACACTGCTCTGCCCAGCAGTATTCAAGAGTAAGCTTCAGAGACTGTGATGACTAAGCTAGGACAAGAGGCCACATTACTCAAAGAAATGCATGTCTAGAACTCAAACACAAGCACAGTATCAGGCATCCAGTCTTCAGCTGTAGAAGGGTGCAGGCGACAGAGGCGAAGGAGTTAGCAATGGGAATGTGATGAAGAGAGGAACAGGACAGTGCCCTTGGAATTGAACTTGGCTGAAATAAACAGTTTAGCACCTGAAACCTCCCGGATGGACCTAAAAGCAGAGCGGGCACCACACACCACAGCTAATGAAGGAAATGTCTGACAGTGACCAGACAAGTGAAGAAGGGAGGCAAAACGGCTGCAGAGAGTCCGCACTACCTTTGAGACGCTGTCCAGTTGTCCAGCCTGGGGGTATGGACCCGAAATCCACAGGAAGAGGAAGACACTGAAGAAGCGATGTCCTGGGAATCCCCACATATGACTGTTTGTTGTTGTTGTTTGCCTGTTTGTTTGTAATATTCCTAATACCATTTCACCCTTGTATTGTGTCTGTCCTATGGGCAGACTAAAAGCCAAACACTCAAGGGCGGTACTGGAAAATCTCCATGACATCTGAATATTTACCCAAAAAAAGAGAAAGAAAAAGAACAGAAATAACAATTTTCACTTGCAGAAGTGAATTAAGGCTGAAATGTCATGTGGTATTTTAACCTTATTCTGAATTTCCTTGTTCTAGTCAATCTAAATCAGGCCTTAATGATATTTAAATGCAGCTACTTGTATTCCCATAATAGGCAAACAAAAGAGAGGTTAAAATAATTCTATTATTTCACAATGATGAAACAGACTGAATATTTCAATTATTCTCCTTATTATAGTACACATAGAACAACAGTGTGTTAATCTGCTTCGATATATATAGGCCCTTTAACCACACCACAGTGGGACTAATACAATCGCTTTGGTTGAGCTGCTCGCTGATTCAGGGTTGGAATAAAGTACTTCACAGATTAGCTTAGTCTGCAGCGCTTAAAGGTCAGGATTTATTGTAATGTAAATCACAAAGCAATTTTATCTTGACAGAGATTACATACTGTTACAATATTTCTCGCTGAATCTAGTGATGCGTTTGCTTTTTCTTTGCAACTGCTGTGCAAATTGGACCGTAGCCCAGAAAAGAAAAAGAGATGGCAGGCTGGTTTGGCTTTTTAGAAACAACTTAATTCTCTTCATTTTTCAAAGTTCCACAAGGAAAAAAATCTGAAAATACACATAAAATCCCACACAAATACTTTGTGTACCTTTTCGGAACCTGAGCTCTGGTGCACACATGTACCCACAACCCGTTAGTGGCCATCTCTCAAATGTTTTGGTGTGTTTTAAGAACCTGAGCTCTGGTGCACACATGTACCCACAATCCGTTAGTGGCCATCTCTCAAATGTTTTGGTGTGTTTTAAGATAGGAAGCAATTGACAATAACTGATTTCTGATTACACATACCAACCATCTTGATACAGTATGTAAATCATTTCCATTTTAAGCAAACAATCATAAACAATTGGAAGAACTCCTTTGCACTGAAGAGATTACCAAAGAAGGTGAGGACAAGGGAGGGCAGTGCGGTCTCCAGGGCCAGGGAGAGGAAGATAATAGGTCTTCTCTGTGCTTCTCTGCTGAGGGTTTGCCCTTAGCATGGAAGAGACTGGACCAGATGCCAGCAGGAAATTTGATTGCCAGGGACCTAGAACAACTAACAGTGTGAGGACTGCTTAGTCCCCAGATATTCTCAGGAGCATCTCACTGCGAAGGTTGAACTGGTCAGCCCACACGTCCACTAGAACAGGTCCTCACTGACAACGCATCCCTGGGACCCACTTCTGCTAGACAAGGGGACTGCTTCCTTCTCTGTCCTTTCTTATAATGAAGTTCCTTTGTAAACTCACCATTCCACTGTCAATGAAATTCACTTTTCAAATTCATGAGCCAAGGAAGCCATAAGGCAGCAGCTCAGGGTGGCTTTGGTGGCTGTTGAGTGTTCAGGATGGAAAGTCATGCTCACCTGAGGAGAGCTCAGCTTTGCAGCATGTTCCAGGGAGTCCTTTGTCCCTGTTGCAAACAGGTAGACACTGCTCACATGTCAGGTGCCTTTGTGTGGACTGAATATGTTTGATTCGCATAGAAAAGTTGTACTTTCTTCCTCCAGCTACTATCCACTAGTGCTCTTCTCTCTTTCAAAGGACACAGCAAGTCGTTCTCCAGGAAACTGGACAATGGACATTTCTGACTAGCCTTCCTCTTGTTTGCTAGAGAGCTCTTCAGTAGACAAAAACAATGCATTTTACCTGGATGGCACTTTAGACTTCATAACATGCATTATTTTATTTAATATTTTTCTAAACTCAGAACTGTAAATTAAAAACAATGAAATACAGTGAGTCAGGGAGATTCACATGGGCTCCTACAGCTACTGACAAACAAATTATTACTCCTATCTCAGTCTCTGCTCCATATCATCTTTCTATGGAAAACTGGGGAAAGTGGAGGTCTTGACAGAAAAAGAATTGGGTTAGAGCAGGAGAAGGAATCTGATTGTTTTGAGTTTTGTTCTGTTTTGTTTTGAAAGAAGGTCTCACTATGATGCTCACACTATCCTTAAGCACTGAGTCCTCTGTCTCACCATGCAGGATGCTAGAACGACACACATGAATCATTCCACCTGCCAAAAAACATTCTAAGAGCCCATTTCCCTTCTCTGACACTAAGAAATTAGAACAAGAAATGGGCATGCATGAAAAGTTACTGTTGTCAGAAACTTTGGGGAGCCTCACGTTGGACGTCATATGCTACGAGGGAAATAATGGGTTTTCCCTTGGGGTTTTTAGTCTCATAAGTGGGCTCAGTGGGAAGCTCCAGGACAATTTTATCAGCATTTGAGAGAAAACAACTGGGCCAGCAAGCTGCAAGTCTCGGGAACTACTGGGAGGAGGTTTCTGGCAATGAGAAAGAAACGTCATGTCTTCTGGCTTAGACTGACACACTCAGTGATGGAGGTCAGCAAGCCATCACAGGGAAACAAGCTGGTACATGGCAGAAAGGGGGTAGCTTCAGAGGAGGAGTGAGAAAGCCCAAGGTGCCAAAGAAAGCATGTTTAGATTCGGACCAGAATCTGAAGAAAGAAGTAAAAAAGGAAAAGCTACACTTTTCTGAGTTCAGATTCAGATAGGCAGGCAGAATTAAGAAAGCATAAAATATCTGTAGGCAACTGAACCAAAGGTAGCATTTCCAAGAAGGAAAGTACATTATCCCATTAAGGGAGAATTACTCCTCCTATCTCTTTAGTGTAGCTTTAGGTGAATCAGCCTGTTTGAGGGTCATCCCTTGTGCAAGTGATTGACAGGCCCAACTCAAGGAGGAAGTGTTTTCAGTCTTTATTGTATATCAAAATGGCATGTCTTCCATCTAGGGCCAGAGGTATTCAATTATGGAGGGGCCCATCCTCCATGACCTCTAAAGATCTCTCCACATTCCCCATCAAGAGTGGAGATCCTGCAATAATTCAGAAGTGCTGAAATTTGGGGATAGTTGTGGCTGATTTACACCATCAAAGCTCAGAGGTCCATGTCCAAGGCTGTTCGCCCTCAGGGATTAATGACTGGACTGGTGTCTCGTGCATATTCTCAGGTATAGCTTCAAACCAGAGATGACCCTGCAGGAGAAAATAAAACAAGGAACCGGGAAGCAGAATCCTCTCCTGGCATCCCTGGCCTCCAACCAGGACATTTGGGGAACGGCTGCTCTTGAGGTCCCTGTCCTAAGTTAACTGTTTTCTGCCCCTGTCCTCATTATCACCACACTCCCAGGTCATGAAAAGACACATCCTCCACTAACCTTGTTATAAATGCCGCTTTAATTGCCGGAATTAGTCAACAGGCCTGTGAGTTAAATCAGCTTTCTGTTTAGCCCTGAGAATATAAAGAGATTCTTCATTAAAAATCGAATTTATATCTCAGCCTTCTTTGCAGATGAAAAGGAAAGCATGGGGGGTGCAGGCAGCACCCCTGCGTAGTCTGGGAGACAGGAAGAGAAGGGAGGAGGACACAGAACAGAATAGCCTGCCTCTCTGCCGGCCCCTCCTTCCCGCCTGCGCCACCGTGAGTGTTATGCCAAATGTGTCTATCCTGCCTGCTCACATGGGGGAGGGCCAAAAGCTTTACATTACACCACTGGTTTACACCCTGAGAACCGTCTTGGGAGCTGCAAAATACACTTTGAAGCAACTTTCTAAAAGGCACATCTATATTTACCAATGTGTTCCACATGATTAAACTGTGAAATTTGTCTCCAGTTTGGCAATACCTTAGAGAGATGTTGTGAGGTTTAGAAAGAAAAATGCCTGGGAAGTGCCTTAAATCCCAGGGACGAAAGCACGGTAGACTTCCAAGGTGCTGTTACACTCCCAAGGCTCCCGGCTCCGTTGGTGCAACAGCAAGTAAAAGCTCCTAAGCTATGATGTCACAATGTTGTCATGCAGCATCATCCACAGTGAGACCAAGAAAAAGCTGTTTCTTAAGAGCCTCTCTCCCCTCCTCGGCTTGTTCAAGCATATGGTCTTCAAATCTAGTTCACAGTGAACTTCATCTCTGCCACTGCTGTAAATGAAGTTTCTTCTCAGGCAGATGTCAGTGCTAAAAGTTTGCTGCTCCTAAATACCAAATTTACATAAAATCCACATAGCTTTCTGCAGAAGTCTTTTTGGTGGGCGTAGGCTGGTGGGCTAGGAACCGTGGTTCACTTACTTCTTCCTGTATTCATAATAACTCTCACTAATTGGAAAAGCGATAATGTTGACTGATCCATAGATGCCACTCCCAAATTCCTCTCTGGCTTTAATGCCATCTGTCACCCTGAGAGAAAGAATTACAAAGGGCACAGAGTTAGGCCTGTGGGTTCAAACTACAGGCCACTATTTATGAAAAATGTATTACAGAATTCAGTGAGAAATGACTACATAGGTATTTTATGCCCATGAAACCATCTTCATGACTAAGTAAACCTGAGTTAGCTGCTTGCCAAAGCAGGAGCAGTCACCAACTTAACTAGAATTGCTGTCTCAGAAAAGAAAAGAAAATGCAAAATATTTATGAATTGGGAATCCCGCTGAAGCTGTAAATTGGGTGGGGCTTATAGAAAAGAATTTCAAACCAATATTTGAAAAATAAACAGCTATTTGGTACTTATTGCCTTAATTGGCACAGTCTGGCCACAGGCATGGTAGTATAAACCTCTAATTTCTGAACCTTGGAGGTAGAGGCAGGAAGATCATGGCTTCCAGTTCAGTCAGGATTTCATAGTTGTAAAAATATGGTGTAGTCTAATATTTATTTAAGTTGACTTTCAGAAACGTTCTGAAAAACACAATAAAATTACTTACAACTTGAAACTTCTTTGGCAATAATTCCCTGAACTAATAAAATGAAGTTGATGAAGCGTGTGGAATGATAAAGTGACATTAGCGGAACAACTAAATGACTTTGTTAATGTGGCCGAGTTGTGTGGCTCAAATGCCTGCAGACTGCAGCGTGTGTCCTGCTAGTTAGTGCTCTTCAAATCTGCAAGAGGGAGGCAAACCAGGAGCCGGGAAGCGTTCTCAGTTCAGTCCTGGGAGTCTCCCTCTGTGTCACCACCCTGCTTAACGCCTTATTGCTTTTGCTGACTACCTGGAGATCACAGTCAATTCTTTGCCCAGTGAGTGTTACTCTTTTCACATGATGTAGCAGATCTTTATATGTACAACATAGACTGACACTTTAAGGAATGTGGGAACACCACCTTGAGCAGAGACCCACTTCCCCTTCTGCCTGGGAGTAGGCAGCTGTAAGACAATGTTTAGTAAAAACATGTTTACTAAAAACGATACAATGTCTGGGGCAATAAGTTCCTGGAAAAGGCCTTCCCACGGAAACCGCCCTGACCTCGACCTTGTCCAAAGACTAACCGCACCTTCAAACCCACACACATCCACCTCTGGTGTCAGAGCAGAACCAGCCAGGGGAGAGGAGAGAGCAGAAGCTTCTCTGGTGGGAGCTTTTCTTAGGAGGTTTTCTTGAACCTTTTTGGAGCCTGTTTAAAGTTTTCTTTATATCGTTGAACAAGTCTCTGTGTTGTCAATCCCCAACACCCTCCGCACGTTCTCGGACACAGGCCGCGCAGCAGACGTGACAAAGGAAAAGTCTCAAGTTATTTGGAAGCATTCCATTGTCATTCCCACAACAAAATGGGATCAGAATACCACTCTGCTTAAAGCTTCCAACTGCCTCTTTTGACTTCTGGAAAACATTCAAACTTCTGAACATCCTTTTTGAACAGTATTTCCAAATTCCACTCTGGTGAGTGCAAGGATGCAGGCTACACATCCATAGGTCATAAACTCTGCAATTCCAGATTCTTGGCTTTCTCTTCCCTCATATCAAGGTCTTACAAGGAGAGTTGTTTCTTCTTTTTCCTTTATTAATCTTTTTATTTAAATTAGAAGCAAGTTTGCTTTACATGTCAATCCCAGCTCCCTCTCCATCCCCTTCTCCCCCACCCCCAAGCCTCCCAGCCCCCCCATCCTATGCACCCTCTGATCCTCCATAGGAGATCTTCAAAGTCTGTCATATCATCCAAGGCAGGGCCTAGGCCCTCCTCCATGTGTCAAGGCTGAGAGAGCATCACTCCATGTCGAATGGGTTCCCCAAGTCCATTCATATGCCAGGGATAAATACTGATCTAGTACCCAAGGCCCCATAGATTGCTGAGTCCTCCTCACTGACACCCAAATTCAGAGGGGTCTGGATCAGTCCCATGCTGGCCTCTCAGTCACCAGTCTGGGGTCCATGAGCTCCCCCCTTGTTCAGATCAGTTGTGTCTGTGGGTTTCACCACCCTGGTCTTGACCCCTTTGCTCATCACTCCTCCCTCTCAGCAACTCGGTTCCAGGAGTTTAGTTCAGTGTTTAGCTGTGGGTGTCTGTCTCTGATTCCATCAGCCACTGGATGAAGGCTCTAGGATGGCATTTAAGGTAGTCATCAATCTCATTGTCTGAGAAGGACATTTAATGTATCCTCTCCATTATTGCTTAGATTGCCAGTTGGTGTCATCCTTGCAGATCTCTGGAAATCTCACCCCAGACTGATGGCTGAAAGGCCAGCATGGCCACTGATCCAGATCCCCAGAATGTGGGTGTCAGTGAGGAAGCTTCGGCAATCTTTTGGGGCCTCGGGTAGTAGATCAATATTTATCCCCGGCATAGGAATGGACTTGGGGAGCCCATTCCACCTGGAGTGATGCTCTCTCAGCCTTGACAAATGAGGGAGGGCCTAGGCCATGCCTTGCATGATATAACAGACTTCAGAGATCCCCCAGACTTCGTAGGGTTTTACCCTCCCTGAGGAGCAGAGGGGGGATGGGGGGGTAATGGGGGGGGGCAGGGGAGGAGGAGAGGGGCAGGGAGCTGGGATTGACATGGGAAACAAGCTTGTTTCAACTTTAAATAAAAAAAGAAAAATAAACAAATAAATAAAAATAAAAAGGAATTCTAAAATGTTAGTAGTTTTTTAAGTAGTTACTAGGTTTTTAAAACTAAATTACTATTATAAATCCTGAAATATTTCCCCAAAATTGACATATTCATGCTTTATTGTATCATTTTTTAATAAAAAAGGCTTTTATGTGTACGGTGTGTGGCCTGCATGTCTTTATGTATACAATCTATATTCCTGGTGCCCACAGAAGTCAGGACAGCAGGTGTCAGTTCCCTGGAACTAGAGTATGGATTGTTGTGAGCTGCTATGTGGATGCTGGGAACCAAACCCAAGTCCTCTGAAAGATCAGTAAATGCTCTGAACTGCTGAGCCATCACTCCAATATTTGTGACGCTTCTAAGCAGCAATCTCCTTAGATGGGCATTGGTAGAAAATATTACATGCTAAACATATTCGTGTGTGTGTACCTGTGTGCAGTGATGGAGTTTTACCCCAATTCTTACACATATGAGGAAAATGCTCTGTGGCTAAGCCTCATCTCCAGACCGTTGCATGAATTTTCTATAAATAAGCATCTCTAGGTAGAAACGTCTGGAATACGTTGAGCTGTCTTTAAACTTTCAATCCCCTTCTGAAATTCCTGAGCATACATGCATTTTTACTTAAACATGTAATACTGATGGAGTATGGTGGCAACTTGTGGAAAGCAAGCCTGTGTCCTTCCTGACTTCTGAAAGACTGTCGGCCTGTGTGTGCCTCAACACCTTAGGAGGTTGTTTCAAGTCTCTGATTTGAATTCACTGAGATGTGGATTAGCTGCTGTTGTATGTTTGAACCACACTTGAGGTACAACTGGGAAGGAAGAAATGTTTTCCTACTTCTTATCAAGAGATATGAGGCTAGGTATAATGGATCATGCCTTTAATCCCAGGACTTTGGAGGCAGAGCCTGGAGAATCTTTCTGAGTTCAAGGTCAGCCTAGTCTACATAGTGAGTTAGCTCCAGGCCAGCCAGGGTATCATAGCTTGTGTCAAAACAAATTTATGTGCTCAAATGCGAGCTATTTCATAGTGTATTTGCAAGTCATCTTCCACTCTGCTTCCAGTCACATATCAGGATTAAAGTCCCTTTACTTCCTGGAGTTAAGTGGAGCAAGTCACATGTTCTAACTAATGCAATCTGAGAAGGGCAGTTTGCCAACCAGAGGTGAGACTAAGTGTCAACAGCTTGTGTGTCACTAACCAAGTTCCATTGTGTTTGGATACACCTTCCACAGATAATCTTAGTTAGACTCTTTTGTATGGTAACACACACCTGTAATCTCAGCACTTAGAAGGCAGAAATTGTTGGATTACATGTTAAAGGCTAGACTGGGTTACAAAACAAGTTCTAGGCTACACTAGCCTACATGAAGCAAGATCTTTTCTCAAGGAAAAAAAATGAAACCTTAAGGTTTCACAATTAACTTAAATATTAATTATCATAGAAGCAGTTAAATCTGTTGCATTATGTTGTAATTTAAATTTTTATTAATGTTTTATATAGTATATTTTGATCACAGTCTTTCCCTTCTCCCAACTCTTCCCATATCCTCCCAGTTTCCTATCCACCCAACTTCATGTCTTTGTCTCTCTCTCTCTCTCTCTCTCTCTCTCTCTCTCTCTCTCTCTCTCTCTCTCTCTCTCAATATCTGCTGTTTCCTCAACTGACCTGACAAGGGTTAACTCTTGAATCCCAGGCTGATGCCTGGTAATCCAGCATGGGACTGATCAAGACCCCCTGAATGGGGGTGTCAGTGAGGAGGCCTAGGTAATCTATTGAGCCTTGGGCAGTAGATCAGTATTCATCCCAAGTATACACATGGACTTTGGACTCCCATCCAACAATGTGAGATGCACTCTCACCCTGAACTCTTGGGGGAGGGTCTGGGCCCTGCCCTGGATAAAATGATAGACTGTGGACACCCCCATGGAGGGCCTCACCCTCCCTGGGGAAATGAGGGGATAATGGGGGGGTTGGGGGGAGGGCATGGGAGGAGGGGAGGGAAAGGGAAAGGGACCTGGAACTGACTTGTGAAGAAACCTTGTTTCTAATCTAAATTTAAACTTAAAAATAAATAATAAAAAAATCAAAAAAAGACAAAAACATATCTGCAGTTTCCTA